CATATATTACTATCAATGGACAGAAATTTAAATCATTAATAGTATCTATATATATTATTTCAAAATTCTTTTTTTCTTTGTTTATAAATATAATGATAAAATGGCAACGGAGAAGGATTTAATTAATGGTATTTATTAAAATTGAAAATATATAAAATATTTATTTTTAATTAAAAAATATTTTATTACATATAATTTATAAACTGCTTTTAATTAATTTTATTACATATATATAATATTTCTTATTAATATGTTATCAAATATAAAATTTATATAAGTAACTTATATAGTTATATAGTTTTTTTTATATTATTCAATTTGTTTTCTCTACAGCTATGAATGTTATTTATAAATAACATAAAAATTAATAACTAATATTATAATTAATTATTGTATAATTCCTATTATTAAAAAAATGAATTTGATAGTAAAAATATAAAATAATAAAAAATGTTATAATAAACATTGTTTTATTTTTTGAAATAGAAAAACAAGTATTAAAATCAAAAAATACTTATATTTTAGAATTAATTTAATTTCATAATTATATTTAATTTCTTTAATTTAAGTAAATTTATTTCTAAATTTATTTCAGCAGTCAGAGAATCACTTAAAGCTGATGGAGACCTAGGTCGTATAAAAGCTGAAATGCGCACAGAAGTTATAAAATTATTAGATAATTCAAATAAAGGAAATAAAACAAAGCTTCCAAAGCCACCTCTAGATATTATATTTTTAAATGAACTTATCAGAGAATATTTAGATTGGATGGGATATAAGTACAGCTCTACTGTATTTATTTCAGGTATTTAATAATGTACTTCATATGCAATATAATATATTACAGAAATTAATTTTTTTACAAAATTATATACTTAAAAATAATCTTTATTTTAGAATGTGACTTATCAAAGCAACCTCTTGATAGGTCTTTGCTTTTGCAAAGTTTAGGACTAAAGGAAAGTGAGAATAGTACAAAATTACCATTGCTGTGTAATATTGTAGAAACATTTAAGAATTTAAAAAGTACATAAATATATGAAATTATATATTGGTATAATATGAATAAAAATTTAAAACTAAGTACTAAACACACATATTGTGAATAAACAAAAAAAAATGTTTTTAAATTCAAATTTTATGATTAAATTAAAATTTAGGTGATTTATTTGAATTTTCTTTTTAAAAATTTTATAGAATATGTATAGTTTTATTATATGAAATCATTTCTAATATTTTGTAAAACGAAAACAAGAATGAATTAAAAGAATTTCGTCTTTTTATTTCATGACGTCTTTTACATATTGACATTAGATTATGAAAGTACAATATAATGCTGAGATATTGGAGATCTTAAATATAATTGCTGTTCTCTAAAAGTATTGTATTGGATTTCCTTAAAGATATTATCTACTGAATGTTATAATGTACATCAGTTATTGTAATGAATTTACTTACAGCATTTGAAAGGTGTAATTAGAATATAGACAATCATGTAAAGGCCTTAATAATTTTCAAAATTAAATACAAGTTAAATGTCATACTTAGTTACCCATTCCTTATTTTATTAAATTTTTCAATCTTCAAAAATTATTAACTATCAATAATAAGTAATGAATTAGTTCAAATTTAATATGTTCAAATTAATTTTGAACACTGAATAATATTGTAAATATAGAATAAAACATCTACATCATTTCTTAGATATCAGATAACAATTTCAATTTTATGTATATAATTGTAAATAATTCTGGCAGAGGATCTTACATTAAAAAGCATTCATAAAGAAAAATTACTGTCAGAATTTAAAATATTAAAGACATCTAATGATGTCATTTGTGCTTTGATTTTTTCTTTTTTTTTGTTTGTTTGTTTCTATTTTTTGATTTTTTCGATTTCTTTTTATGCTTTTCTTCATCAGTACTTGTTTCTGATGAATCTGAATATGAATCTGAATCAGAACTACTATCTTTTTTTATAGATTTCTTTTTCTTATGTTTTTTATGTTTCTTCTTTTTTTTCTTATGTGATTCATCAGAACTATCAGAATCAGAAGTTGAAGTATCTGAACTACTAGATGAATCTTCACTACTTGTAGATTTTGATCGTTTTTTAAGAGATTTAATGTCCATTTCTTTTTCCATATCTGGTTCATCAAGTTTAAGTTTCTTAGCAGGCAATGAAATTACTTTGCCATCTTCACCATCTGATTCTGAATCTGAAGCACTATAATCAGGTTCAAAACTAGCTTCATCGAGCATACTACGTTTACGATCGGATACAAGTCTTGGATTCTTTCTTTGTTTTTTTATAGGTTCCGTAACAGGAGGTTCAGGATTTTCATAATTTATTTTAGTTTCATTATTTTCAGGTTTGTCTTTTAAAACAATATTTTCTTTGTGCTTTTGTTTTTTTTCTAAATTTTTATCTTTATCTTTTTTATGTTTTTTTTCTTTTCGTTTCTTATGTTCTTTGGATTTACTTCTACTTCGATGCTCTTTCTTTCTTTTTTTATCTTCTTTTGTTTTTTTATCTCTACGCCTATCATCTTCTTCTTCTCTACTCTTCAAAAGATTTATCTTTGAAATATCATTTCTTTTAAATGTACAAGATGGTGTTCTTCCTCTTCTTTCTTTATCTCTATCTTTTTCTCTATCTTTATCTATTCTTTCTCCTTTAGAATCATTACGGGTTGATCTAAAATCTCCTCTAGAATCAATTCTTAGATCTCTTTCAGATCTTATATCATGTCGTTCATTTCTAAAATCATTTCTTTCTTTTGAACGATCACCTCGATCTTTATTATCTCGTTTTCTATCATCAAGAAATACTTTACGTTCGTTTCCTGATATAGACAAGGATGAATCAACTCGTCTATCTAATAATGGAGAAATTCTTTTATCTCTCGTATTTCTAGGAGATCGACTTCTAGATTGATTTTCACTCTTTGTTTCGCGTCTATCTAAAAAGCTTTTTATAGGACTAATTTTTCTTTCTTTATTTTCATCCACTTTTTCACCTAGTCTTTCTTTGGCAGAAAGTCTTGTAGGTGAATAAGTTTCTGGTACAGGTTTGAATTTTGTTCGATCTAATTTAGCTTTTTTTACTGGTTCTGTAATTTCAACGTTTCTTTCATTTCTTCCTACATTTATAGTAACGTTCACACTTTTTCTTGGTTCTCTATTAGGTTCAACTTCAAGTACTTTAGGCTCTGGATTCTGATATAGTATTTTTCTACTTTCACTTATTTTTTTAATTTCAATAGGTCTAATAGCATTAATGGCTTTTTGAAAAATAGCATTTTCTGCTCTTTTTAATACTTCTGATGTAACTACTTTTGTAGATTTAGGTTCATCTATTTGTATTTTTTCTATAGGAGATTCACATACATCATCTGTTTTTTCTGTAGTTTCATCTCTTTCCCATTTAGAAAGTTCAGGCATTGGAGCTAAAAATTCATCTTTTTTCGGAGATTTTTCTTCTAATAAAGTATTTTTATTTTCTGTTTCATTTTCTGAAAGTAAAGAATATTTTTCTGTTATTACAGTATTTATTTCTGCATCATCTAATCCACTATAAAGACTATCAATAGGTTTGATTTCAGATTTTAATTCTGGAATTGGCTTAAAATTAGGATTAGGAGGATTTGTTCCAAATTCAGTGTGATCAATTCTTTCTGGACTGGTTTCATGAAATTCTGGGGGCTCTGGATTCATGGCTAAAGATTTATCTTCAAATTCTTCTTTAATTGATTCTTCAATAGCATTTTCAGTAGAAATACAAACTATTCTACTATCGATATTTTCATCTTCATTAACAGGTTTTATTACATCAGTTTTTGTAGGTGATATGATCTCTTGTTTATTTTCTATTATTAATTCTTCATGTTCAGCTGATTTAATACACTCGTCTTTTGCAATTTCTTTTTGTCCTGATTTCTTTTCTTTTTTCTTTTTCTTTTTCTTTTCTTTTTCATCATCTTTTTTCTTTTTCTTCTCTTTAATTTTTTTCTCTTTTTTCTTTTCTTCATTCTTTTCTTCATGATCTTTTTCTTTTTTCTTTGTACGTTCAGGTGATACATCTTTCATATCTATCCTAGATTTCTGTGAATAAGGTGTCGGACTTTTTCTATTCTTTTTTCGTTCCATGGAACGTCTTTCATAACGTTCATGTCGATCTCTATCTTTTTCAGATTCATAATCTCGTTCACGTCTATCTTTTTCACGAGAACGATTTTTATCATCTTGTTTGTGTCGATCTCTTTCTTCTCTATAACTAAAATAATATTAATGTTATAGATTTTACAGTTTTGATTTTATAATAAAATTAAACTAGTTCGATTATACTATTTATAAATATAATTAATTTTTTTTCATTATGTAAAAATAAATAATATATTAAATAATGTAATGTATTAAAATAATGTATAGATTATATTTTCATAATATATCATACAAATAACTAAATGAAATATACATACCGATCTTTATCATAATCTTTTTTGTCTAAATGTCTATCGTCTTCTCGACGATCTCTAGTATGCCTATCATCTCGTTCTTTTTCTTTTTCTCTTCTATCACGATCATCTTTTTCTCGTATTCTATCATCGTGATCTCTAGATATTCCTTGTCTTTCACGATCTTCGCGATCTCTATTTAAAATTCTTCTATCTCTGTCATCTCTTTCACGTAAACGATCATCTCGTTCACGTCCTCTGAAAAAAAAAAACAAAAAAAGAATTTTTAATTTTTTATACTTTTATTTATTATTTGATAAAAATTTATTATTATCTAAATATTTAAATTAAATTTATACCTGTCTTCTCTCAAAGATAATCTATCTCGATCTTCATTATCATGATCTTTAAGAGAATGATCACGATCTTCTTGATCTCTTAATAAACGTCGATCACGATCGTCACGTAAAGATCTTTCAGAAAGTTCTACACCTGGTGGTGAAAGATCATAGTAGCCCTCTGTTCCAGGAGGTGCAACATCATCAAATCTTTTGTGAGGCATATCTCGTAAAGGACTACCAAAACGTTGGCTAGATGGTCCAGGATACCTGCTGACAAAAAATTGATAGAAGATATTTATATTTTTATTAAAATTTTCCGAAGTCATTTAAATTATGCATTACATTTGATTTATAAAAAATCAATTCTATATGAATTTTTTAATTTATAAATTATTAAAATTTAAAATGGAACAAAAAAATGTTATACAATTATTTATATCCTAAATTTAGATTCATTTTATGAAGTTTACAATTTTTATTCATATTTTTTGACATAAATACGTTTTATAAAGTATGTTATTTTGTTTAATTATATATGTTCATTAATTCTAGAGCAAAAAATTACAATTCAATATTTCATCTAAGTGTTATTTATTTAAAAAAAAATTGATTTTACCGTTTCTTTTGCTTACTATGAAAGTGCTATAAAAAATTAAAACCTTTATAGTAAAGCTGAAAAGATAAAAGAATAAAATTACCTATTATCAAATTATTGTCTAATATGTCATAAAAACGAAAAATAAATAAATCAACATTTATAACTTTAAATATATTATTACACATAACATAAAAATTGTATAATGACTTTATTCATTGAACCATTATATTGCATATTTTACTCACCAATAGTACCATATACAATATAAATATTGTTATATTGATAAATATATTATACAATATATTTTTAATTTTTGATAATTTTCTTAAGAATATTTTATGAGTATAGCACTGAAAACAAATAAAAGAAAATATTTTTTTCTTATGTTACAAATGTTGATTTGGCCCTGAATTCACCTGATTCAGAAACCATGCAGTCTGTCAATCAGCTGGGTAGCTTCCACAATCTCCAAATTGGTCCTTGCTTTTTTCCTTGTTTCTCTCTTCTTCTTTCACTTTTTGGTTATTTGTATATTTCATAACTTAATGTCATTATGTACATACAAATAATATCTTATATGCATGCAAATTACAAAATCAATCATTCAATAATAATAATAATAACTAATTACAGAAAAGGAAATTAATATAAATTTTGTGTTATTTTTATAAAAATATTTCCTTACTTCGCGTATATCATTACATTTTCTTTGCAAATAATATTATTATAACGATCTTAAAAAAAAATATAATTAAAAATTACAGAGTTAAAAATATTTATCTTTCTATAATAAAAAGCAAAGCTTAGTATTGTTAGCTTAACAATAATTAACTTGTATATTATGAACTTATTTCAGCATGAAAAAGTAATAAAATTTTAAAATTTTCGATAATATGCTTAATGCATATAAAAGTAACAGTTGTAAAAAAATTCAAATAAATTTCCCGTTTATAAAAATTTACTAATATTATAAATTCGTATGAATATAAAAAAAAATAATTCTATAAAACATAATTCAAATAGCCTAATAATGCGAGACATTAATGTCTATTCGCACTCATTCCATTATTATCAACATAATATAGTTTAATAAATTCATTCTTTAATAAAGAATAATTTTAATATTTTAAATTCAATATAGTACTTACGAACGTTGATTACAGTATTAAAATAATTTTAAATTTTTATACTTTCAATATAAAAGTATAAATATTAATATGAATGAATT